CGTGATTTGAATAGACCAATCCCTGGCCTCCACATAGCCCAATGTCCTCTGTTTTAGGGGGCCCCTATAATAACACTTTCCAGATGTTTCAGCAAAGTAGAGTGAAGTTCATCTAACTCCCAATATGGTAGAAGTTCAGATACTACACTAGGTACAGTACCCGTAGCCTAGCCTGCATGCAATTAGTGCTGTTAGCTCGCTAGCTCCACTGCTTTAGCATCCCGCTAGTGCAGGTTTCCACTACACTGTAAAAAGAACACCCACTAATTATTATCCTAGAGTATGTGGACAACTACAAATACCTAGGTGTCTGGTTAGACTGTAAACTCTCCTTCCAGACTCACATTAAGCATCTCCAATCCAAAGTTAAATCTAGAATCGGCTTCCTATTTCGCAACAAAGCCTCCTTCACTCATGCTGCCAAACATGCCCTCGTAAAACTGACTATCCTACCGATCCTTGACTTCGGCGATGTCATTTACAAAATAGCCTCCAACACTCTACTCAGCAAATTGGATGTAGTCTATCACAGTGCCATCCGTTTTGTCACCAAAGCCCCATATACTACCCACCACTGTGACCTGTACGCTCTTGTTGGCTGGTCCTCACTACATATTTGTCGCCAAACCCACTGGCTCCAGGCCATCTATAAATCACTGCTAGGCAAATCCCCTCCTTAGCTTAGCTCATTGGTCACCATAGCAACACCCACCCGTAGTATACGCTCCAGCAGGTATATCTCACTGGTCATCCCCAAAGCCAACACCTCCTTTGGCCGCCATTCCTTCCAGTTCTCTGCTGCCAGTGACTGGAACGAACTGCAAAAATCTCTGAAGCTGGAGACTCTTATCTCCCTCACTAACTTTAAGCATCAGTTGTCAGAGCACCTTACCGATCACTGCACCTGTACACAGCCCATCTGAAATTAGCCCACCCAACTACCTCATCCCCATGTTGTTATTTATTTTGCTCATTTGCACCCCAGTATCTCTATTTGCACATAATCTCTTGCACATCTATCATTCCAGTGTTAATACTAATTGTAATTATTTTGCACTATGGCCTATTTATTGCCTTACCTCCATAATTTGCTACATTTGCACACACTGTATATATATTTTCTGTTGTATTTTTTGACTTTATGTTTTATTTTACCCCATATGTAACTCTGTGTTGTTGTTTTTATCGCACTGCTTTGCTTTATCTTGGCCAGGTCGCAGTTGTAAATGAGAACTTGTTCTCAACTGGCTTACCTGGTTAAATAAAGGTAAAATAAAAAAATCAACTAATTATTATTAAGTAACTGGTTCCACAGCCTTTTTTTTAGTTTACTCAACTTTTCGGTCAAAGTTTTACCTGAACATAACATTTTTTGTTGGCCCAAACTTAGCTCCAACATGAGAAAACGTAGGCAAAAATTAAGTCAACTTAAAACGATGTGTTTGCTCAACTTGTCTCATATGTTCAACTAGAAATTATTATTCTGGGCATTGTACCAAAGAAAAGGCTGTGGAACTAGTTACACACTCACAGTGCTTTTAACATAGAACGTTTTCTATGTCCATATTTGACACACGTTGGCATACATAATTACATTGTGCATGTTCAGTTATACATTAATTGTTATTCAACTTGTCCTTACCTGGGATTTGAACTCACAACCTCTTGAAACCGCATTCTGATCTTCCTGCTACGCCACCATGCCTGTATCAATGATCAGTTAATCTGACTATTCTCTCATCATTGAGTTTATTTACTTATTTAAGCAATTTTAGGTTTTTCTGTATAGTTGTCTAATGTTGGTGGGGCATATTACACTGTTTTAATGTTACTCCTTAATAACTATGATAAATAAAATCGTTTTTCTAGAGTGTACTTTTAACAGAGCTGAGATTTACTTTGAAGTGCAAAGTGTAGCAATACAGGTGAAATCAATTATTGACACAGACATGGTGGCGTAGCAGGAAGCTTGGAATGCTGTGAACCAAGAGGTTGAGTTCTAATCCCAGGTGAGGACTAATTACTGTATAAATGAACATGCACAATGTAACCATGTATGTCTAAGTGTGTCATATATGTAAGTTGAAAACATTGTATGTTAAAAGCACTGTGTGTGTGTAACTACTTCCACAGCCTTTTTTTTGGGGGGGGGGGGGGGGGGGGGGGGGGGGGGGGGGTTGTAAAATGCCAAATGAATCATTTCTAGTTTAATGAACATACGAGACAAATTGAACACATCATTTTAAGTTGACTGAATTTTTGCCTACATTTTCTCATGTTGGAGCTAAGTTTGGGCCAACTAAAAATTGTACATTCTGGTAAAACGTTGACTGAAAAGTTGAGTAAACAAAAAAAAGGAACCAGTTACTTAATAATATTTAGTTGAAACAACTAGATTTTTTAAAAAGTGTAATTTTTGCTTCTTCTACTCCTGATTTGCTAGCTCTCCGTCGGACCCCATCGTTCAGAGTTAGCTAGCTTTATGGTCAAGTCTCTAAGCTCGCTAGTTGACTAACAGCGCCGCATGTGCTTTTTAACTAGAAGCCTTTGGGCTAACTCCCATTCGATCTGCGTGACTAAACCTGAACGGTACTGTTTCATCAAGTGTGTTACCCCACCTTTGAAGCACAATCCTTCACATTCCCCTATAAACCTAGCTGTGCATTTTTACCTGGAGTGCCTTGGTTTACACACCGAGTCAGGTATTAACACGGGTGGTGATAGCCCACTAATTGGCTAGCATCCCTTTCAGCGCCACTTTCACTACCCTGTAAGTATTTAGACTGTTTCAGCTTACCTGACTTCCAGCTATCATTGCCCTGATGGTCTCCCGTTACTTCCGTGTCTCATCCGACTTCCCCATCGAATAGTAGCATGCCGGGTAGCTAGCTTACTAGCTTCCTCCCCGGTAATTCCATCTGTTTTCGTCCATCCATTCGAAATGATATCCTCAACAAAGGGGGAGAGAAAGCGAAGCAAGCCAAACAAGGCTTCCCTGGCAATTGCGGCAACAACATGTACCAGTCTGATTCCCATCAGCTATGTGCTACATGCCTCAGCATGGACCACACTTTGACAGCTCTCATTGTCCCCGCTAGCTGTGTGCATTGCGCTAAGCTGGGACCCAGCGTCATTAAACATAGAGCAAAGTATTGCCCAGGCCTCACTCTTGCTTGAGGATGACTCAGTTGACAACAAAGTCCCACAGGAGGGTGAAGCTCTACAGTCTTCCCCTCCAGTCGAGCGCCCAGCAAATTCGGAGGTCGCCCATCTTTTGCAGGGGTCGGACCTTTCAAATGGATCCAGAAGTGAGGACGACGGCATATCTCTTGCCGCATCAAGCAGCACCCCCTCTGACCAGGAGATGGATTACACCCCTGAGGAATATTTATCCTCCTCTGCTCAGCTTGTGCAGGCCAGACAAACTGAGGAAGTATGGCAGTAGACTATGGCTGACCTCCCCTTCTTTGAGGCAATCAGACGCGCTGCCACCAAACTAGATGTTGAGTGCCTATGCCTCCCTTGCCTTGCAAGAAGATTAGGATGGATGGAGTCACCTCTCAGGGGTGACTTCCACAACCGTCCCACAATGTGTACCAGCCTTCCAAGACAGTATGGCGCTGTTGGAGTCTTCCTGGGTGAGGCCACTTAAGTCACATTCTCTGGTGACTGGCTACCCCCACTTGATATGCATGGCATGGAGTCATCAGGATGGTTCAGCCCGCCTCCTGTGGAGCCTTCCCTGGCTGGGCAACTCAACCCTAAAGCTTTGAGCTCCTCTTCCTCTGCCCCCAAACTCACTCATCCCAATGACAGCTTCACCGCGACCGTGTATGAGAGGATCTACTGATCTGCAGCTCAGGCGGTGCAGGCTAAGGAGCTTTTCAACTCCCTGGAGAACGGTGGCACTGTCGATCGGGAGAAGTTAATGGAATTGAGAAATCTTGCTGACCATACCACCTGGATCCTGAAGTGCACCGCTGAGGCTTCCGGGAGAGTCATGGCGCATGCGAATGTTGGCCAGAGAGTCCTCTGGCTGAATAACGCAAGGGTGTCAGAGGGAGAAGGGAACGATTCTGAATGGACAGATCGATCCCACCAGACTGTTGGACCAGCAATATCGGAGATACAGGCCAGGTTTGAGTCTAGGAAAAAGGGCTCCCTGGGCTCCCTGTTACCAGTTCCCATCACATCCAGGCCCACGGGCCGACGGTGATGGTTCAGAATGTTCCCATTCAAAACAATCAACCTGTCAAGGGTTACCTTGTCCAGCCACCAGGCCCACATCTGCAGTCGCCCTCACAGGGAGCAATGGGGTGTGTGTGCAGCCCCCGGGGTCATCGCACCATCGGCCAGGGGTACAGACTACATGGGAACAGTGCAGTCCACTGCACAGGGGGAAGCGGCCTGAGCCCTCAGAGACTAGATACGGTGCAGAGAGAGGAAGCTCACCAGGGCTTCTTCGGCTAAATCGTGCCATAAGTTCACTCTTACTGACCCAGCAGCAAATTATGGATTGTCTCTGGTCCTTGTAACCTGTCGAGCATCTCTCACTGTGGAGAAAGTGACAGCTTTTGCCACTGCCTGGCAACATCAGTCAAGTACTGGATGTTAGTCTGAGGTGTCTTGAGCTCATCTCCTCCATGATTGTGGTAGTCCCGCTTGGCCTCCTCCTCATGAGAAACTTCCAGCATTGGGTGACCTCACTCCACTTGAACCCGTCTTTCCACCGGCAATATATTGCCAAGGAGGAAGGCACTCCTGGAAACTTCACTTTCTGGCAAAAGAGATCTTGTTATGGAGCAGCGAACATCTGTTGTCTCTCAGAGAAACACATGTGCCAGGCAGACTAAACTCAGGTGTGGATTTACAATCGCTGGGGAACCCCCTACCAGGGGAGTGATGACTTCATCCCGAACATTACGGCAGAGTTGCCGTCAATCTGTACGCAACACAGGACAACGCACACTGTTGCCTGTTCCTTGCAATGGGAGATCACAACATTCCTCGGGGCGTAGAAATGCTGGCCAACTAGTGGTCAGAAGTGCTTCTGTACGCTTTCCCTCCCATGGGCCTGATTTCCCCCCCCCCCCCCCCCCCCCCCCCCACACACACTCTGAAAGCGAATGGTCTATCATTCATCCTGATAGCCCCGCCACCATTATGGTAAACTTGGTGACAATCTCAGCCTGCCATGTAGGAATAGGTGAAATTACAATCAGGGTTCACCCCTTTCGTTCGTCGTTTTATTTAGGGAGTGTGCTGTCTAATAATATGGCCGTGTTGCTTGCCTTGGCCACTGCCAAGCATGTTAGCGACCTTTACGCGCTCTCGGTTCATCCTTCATGCACTCAGTTTGCCCCTGACTACTCCAAAGTTACGATACGAACGCCATGCTCATTCCTTAAGTCATTTCCATGACTCGTAGTACCCTGGTCAAGCCACTAATATATCCATCTCAGAGATGTGCGGAGGCTAGTTGGGCTTCCCCTCACACTTTTGTGAGGTTCTATCATATGGATGTCACTGTGCCATCCCTTGCGCACACAGTTATTGGCGCTGGAGCAGAGTAGGATGGATCAGGTACACTACCATGTAGCACAACACAGGCTTCTCAGGAAATGGGCTAATGACAATCTGGGCATTTTGCAAGTGTCCCTTAGAGAGAAAAATAACTATCGGTTACAGTATGTAACCACGGTTCTCTGAAGGAGATTAAGGAGGCTTCTCACCAGATTGCCCCTCTTGCGCGACACGTGTAAGTATGTAACCACGGTTCTCTGAAGGAGATTAAGGAGGCTTCTCACCAGATTGCCCCTCTTGCGCGACACGTGTAAGAGGCAGTTCGTTGAATGAGGAAACCAGATCATTGCGGGTGCTATATAGATACGCGGGTCTCACACCCATAAAGCTCTTTTTGGCCTTTTAGCCATGATTTAATAAGGTTTCAGTGAATAGGACACGAGGGGTGTGTCCCATAGTGAGATGTCTCCCTCATCTCCTTCAGAGAACCGGGGTTACATACCGTAACCCAGGGATCATCAACTAGATTCAGCCGCGGGCCGATTTTTTTCTTGAGCAGATGGTCAGGGGGCCAGAACATAATAAAACATTATTTGTAGACTGCAAATTGACCGCAAGAAGCCCAAACAGATATAACATTTGACTAAAACATTATAATTTCAAATCTTGCTTACATTTGTATACGATCACATATAGTATATCTCTCTGTTATGCGTGGGAATACTTTGGAACAGATTTCCAAAATTAAAATAACTTGGAGCTAATTTGCTGGTGTTTTTACAGTCTTTTATGTCCAACAATAAAATGTAAATAAATAAAATAAAAATGTTGCTCAGAAAGCTTGGGGGGCCAAATTAAATCACCCGCGGGCCATATTCGGGACGCCAGTTGGGGAACCCTGCCGTAACCCATAGTTGTTTCTACTGTTGTCTACCATTTTGGCAACAGTTTGTATTAGAAGCTTAGATGACTCTCCAGTCCAAAGGCTAACCCTTTTTCCCCCTTCTTCTCTTCCCCCACCCATGCACAGAAAGCGGAAATCGCTGTGGCCCCATTGACAATCACGCTGGTCCGGGAGGAGGTGATCGACTTCTCCAAGCCCTTCATGTCGCTGGGCATCTCCATCATGATCAAGAAGCCTCAGAAGTCCAAACCTGGGGTGTTCTCCTTCCTGGACCCGCTGGCCTACGAGATCTGGATGTGCATTGTGTTTGCCTACATCGGCGTGAGCGTGGTGCTCTTCCTGGTCAGCCGCTTCAGCCCGTACGAGTGGCACACCGAGGAGCCCGAGGAGGGCACCGACGGTCCGCCCAGTGACCAGCCCCCCAATGAGTTCGGCATTTTCAACTCCCTCTGGTTCTCCCTGGGCGCCTTCATGCAGCAGGGCTGTGACATCTCCCCCAGGTGAGAGATATATGTATTACTACTAAGACTGCATGATATACTACTACTACAGTAATATATTCTGATACATTATACCGAAACATCCCCCAGCTGGGATATAAATGTCACTACTACTACTACATGACATACATACTACTACATTACACCCAAACATCCCTTAGGTGAGAGAAAAACACGCACACACATACATTACACACATAGTACTACATTACATCCAGATGTCCCCTCAATGTCCTTTTCTTTATTGTGTTAAGTATTAAAGGCTTGTTGACATTGATAACAGCTGCCTCGGGATGCAATGGCTCATACAGGATAGGGTTACATTCACTGGCTAGCTATTAGTCTCTTCACTGTCTGTTGCAGAACAAACATAGTTACTCCACTCTGTACAATTGCAATTTTACCCTCGTTTTTTTTTGTGTGAATACCAAAATCCCCGCTTTATGTCGCATAAGTGAAAATAGCTAAATATCATTGGCCTGTAGTTTGTAACCACTGTCTCTGCTGTGCTTTGCTATGTGTGTGTGTGTGTGTGTGTGTGTGTGTGTGTGTGTGTGTGTGTGTGTGTGTGTGTGTGTTTGTGCTTGTGTGTGTGTGTGTGTGTTTCAGCACTTTTATCATCTGCTTTAGAGGGAAATTGCACTGCTGTCCCATTGTCTTTGATGTGTCTGGTGTGCATTTGTGCAATGTTTCATACACTATATTTCTGCATTCAACAGGCTACCCCTTGTCCGATCATGAACCACAAAAAAATATTCAGTAACCATTCAGTGCTGGGTGTCATTGCTTCCGGGTCAAGCTTCCTGTCTGTGACACACTTTTCTGCCCACTCAGCATCTACTTGCTGTCCTGTAGTCGTGATAAGGATCTTTAGGGTTTGTGTAGTTCTTTTTATAGTAATTTCATGACAGAGCTGGGTCAAATAGCCTACATAATATCCTGTGTCAAATACTTAAACGTATTTGAGGTTTGCTTGGTCTAGTTTGAAGTTTGCACTTTTAGGACTATATTTGCTCTGTGATACCAGGAAAACTAAAACAAGCACAGCTCAAACTATTTGAAAGGACTTAAGGTATGTATCTGACATACACTACTAGTCAAAAGTTTGGACACACCTACTCATTCAAGGGTTTTTCTTTGTTTTTACAATGTTTTACATTGTAGAATAATAGTGAAGACATCAAAACTATGAAATAACACATATGGAATCATGTAGTAACCAAAAAAGTGTTAAACAAATCAAAATATATTTTATATTTGTCACGTCTCATCCCGTTGCTCCCCTCCGGCGCTCTGATTCGCTTGTGTACTGAGCCACCAGTCTGAGCGCAACACCGGAATGGAAACCCAACCCACCCTAATCACCTCCAGCGCACCTGCACCTCATTATCTCATCACCATCCCTATATAGCCCTGGACTGTTCAGTGTTGTGTTGTGTGTGATTGTTAGTGTCTTGTCATGTACTCGCTCTTTGTTGTTCTCATGCTCAGTGTTAAGTAAACCTTTATATGGTTGATTCCTGCGTCTGCGTCCTACCTCTTCGTATCCTCAGTACTCGTCACAATATTTGAGATTCTTCAAATAGCCACCCTTTGCCTTGATGACAGCTTTGTTATGGTGTGGGGGTGCTTTGCTTGAGACACTGTCTGTGATTTATTTAGAATTCAAGGCACAGTTAACCAGCATGGCTACCACAGCATTCTGCAGCAATACGCCATCCCATCTGGTTTGGGCTTAGTGGGACTATCATTTGTTTTTCAACAGGACAATGACCCAACACACCTCCAGGCTGTGTAAGAGCTATTTTACCAAGAAGGAGAGTGATGGAGTGTTGCATCAGATGACCTGGCCTCCACAATCCCCCGACCTCAACCCAATTGAGATGGTTTGGGATGAGTCGGACAGCAGAGTGAAGCAAAAGCAGCCAATAAGTGCTCAGCGTATGTGGGAACTCCTTCAAGACTGTTGGAAAAGCATTCCAGGTGAAGCTGGTTGAGAGAATGCCAAGAGTGTGCAAATCTGTAATCAAGGCAAAGGGTGGCTATTTGAAGAATCTCAAATATAAAATATATTTTAATTTGTTTAAGTCTTTTTTGGTTACTACATGATTCCATATGTGTTACTTCATAGTTTTGATGTCTTCACTATTATTCTACAATGCAGAAAATAGTAAAAATTAAGAAAACCCTTGAATGATGTCCAAACTTTTGACTGGTACTGTATGTCAAAAAATTCCCAAGTATGCTTTATGATCCCTAGAGTCATTTTAAAGGTAGACTTAGCGATATGAAGTTAGCATTACATTAGCAGTTAAGGCGACTTCCGCAAAACACACAAAGACAGCCGAAAACAAATGGTTGATCTCCCCTGCATTATCTTTGGTTCATACTGCTGCTCGTGGTCACATCATATAGCTGAGTTTTAGTTTCAGCTCTTCTTTAATGTTTCTTATAGATATCTTAAGCTCTTAGTTTCTCTAAGGTTCCTATATACTGTAGATCATAGTCTTTAAGATTAAGAATGGAATAAGACTGAGAGGAGGGACCAAAACCAGCCTGTATTTTTCAGCCCTCCTACACAGGACCAGAGCAGAGGCATACACAAGATGGAGAACACTAAGGTACATTAGACAAGAGCACCGTCAAAATTATAGTGCCCGTTACTTAGCATCCTAAAACGTCCTATAGCACCGCTACCTTGAGGGAGCTATAGTGGGCCTATGATTTTGACTTAAGTCCACTTCATTTTAAGTAGTCGACTTGAGAAGGGATCCTCATCCACCACGTACTGTATATAATTCTGTAAACTTTGCCAAAATTCTCAGGTTTGCCAGAAATCCCAGTTCGGGATTCTCGCAATCAATAGGGAATACACAGGAAAAGTAATCGTCCAACTGGGAATCCTCCAACTGGGAATTTCTGGAAAACCTAGGAATTTTGGGAAATTTTCTGGAATTGTTTGACTGCTACTGTTTAATCATTTAGTCAGCATTTAGTATTTAGTATTGAAACATTTAGAATTGATACATTTCGTCTACATTGTCCTTTTGTCTCTCCACAGTGTGGCCTGACTACTGTGCCTGTCTGTCCCACACCTGTCACAGATACAGTTACAGTAATCCCACGGGCCCTGTCCCAATCTGTCACCAAAAGAGTCCTTGATCACTTTGGAGGGGTCAACTGAAGTTTATCCTGACAAGGGGACATGCAAATCCCCTCCACCGAGGGATTAGGAGACTTTGGGTGTGTGGAGAAAATGAGGGAATGACAAGGGCCCTGTTTTAGTGATGGGTTTGGGACTATGCCTCACCACTCATCTGTAGTGATGATAAGGAAAGGAAGCTGGCGGATGTGTGGTGCATATACAGGAAGCCATCTCACAATGATGACATACACAGTCCAATGGGAAATGACGACCCAGTGGTGAGATGATTGACAGGTCTAAAGGTTATTCGCTACTGAAGTTCCGTCTTTTACCTTAATGAAGGTTAATCCCGCTACTCACACACACACACACACACAAGCGCGTGCACACACACGCGCACACACACACACACACACACACACACACAGACGCTCACACACACACATCTCCCCAAGGCACCCCATAATAATTAATGCAGTAATTCATATCCCTGTGTGCTCATCTCCGATGGTAATGCCAGGTCTCCATGGCAACGGAGAGGGGAGTGTGTGTGTATGTGAGTGAAGTGGTGACATGGGAGCTCCCTAATTGAGAACAAATCCCAGTTTAGTGTAACTAAAGATGCAGGCTGCTTCCCAAATGGCAGCGTATTCCCTATATATTGCACTACTTTTGACCTGAGTCCTATGGGCCATGGTCAAAAGTAGTGCACTATATAGGGTATAGGATGCCATTTGTGACGCACACGCCATTATTGACTCAGGAGACTAGACAGATACTTCATTATTTAGACTATTAAGATATATCATAATATCATAATAATATTCAGAAATCTTTTTGGATGCCAGAAAAGCACCCGAACATTCTGGTGAAGCCAATATGTCAACAATTTTGTTTGACCAGCAAGCTTCGTACTTTCTGTGATACTGTATGTTTGTAACTTTTGGCTACTTTTTTGTTTAAACCTTTTTTCAGCCAGGTAAGAACAAATTATATTTACAATAACAACCTGGGTACACTTTGACGCTATCCGATCATCCCCAGGCATATCCATGCACAATTTGATCTGGGTGTGATTGGAAGAGTGTGCTCACCAGTTGGCCTGCTTGGATGGGGTGCGATTGGTTTGGTCTGTTTTTGAAGGTCGCCTTCCTCTAGTCTGGTCTAATTGAATAGGTGCCATTGCTTCAGTCTGCCGTACTATTCATATGAATATCATATTTGCCAGACTGCATCATTTGAGCAAGAGTATGAGAGAGCGTGAGGCTGAATTCGTACAGGCTCATGTAGGGTCAAATTGATTTCAGGTGATACATTCTTATTCAGGGCAGTAATGGAGAGAGGGAGGGAGAGAGAGAAGGAGGGATGAGGGAGGAGGAGAGAGGGAGAGGGGGATAGCATGAATAACTAAAGCACTAGGGGCTAGCCCGGGGGTGTATCATGCTGGGAGCAGACAACACATCTTCATTTATTTAGGCTCCTCTCAAGGTCAACCTCACTCTCTCTCTCTCTCTCTCTCTCTCTCTCTCTCTCTCTCTCTCTCTCTCTCTCTCTCCTCTCTCTCTCTCTCTCTCTCTCTCTCTCTCTCTCCACTTCTGTAGTCAGAGCCATAATATACTCTTTACATAGCTCTGCTATTATGTTATATTGTACATCACATGCTGTGATCTTAATTACCTGTCCACAAACACACAACTCATGCAGACATCAAATAATGAAAAGTATGTGTATGGTGAGTCACTCACACATACACATGCACGCGCACACACACACATATATCCATGTAACAAGGATGTTAAACCAGGGTCATACTGGTGCTGCCGTATGGCAGCAACGACCCCTCCACTGATAACGACCCTTTATATCCACCCCTCCTTCCCCCAGTTGGCTCTGGCCCATCAGAGTATGCCAAGTCTGTCACCATGGATGAAAGTCACTGGAGTCACTTCAGATCAACACAGACTGGGAACAGGGAGAGAGAGGTTGAAAGAGAGAGAGAGTCCCCTGGCTCTAGACACAGCTGCTGGCCACTCGCTGCCAACGGGAGCAAACCCTACGAGAGGGAGGAGGAGAGAAACAGAGAGAGGGAGGAGAGAAAAAAGAATGGAGCAGGAGATAAGGAGAGAAAGAAACAGGGAGACAGAAAGAAAAATGGAGGATGAAATTGAAATAAAGGGAGGATAAGAGAAAGAAAGAAAGAAAGAAAGAAAGAAAGAAAGAAAGAAAGAAAGAAAGAAAGAAAGAAAGAAAGAAAGAAAGAAAGAAAGAAAGAAAGAAAGAAAGAAAGAAAGAAAGAAAGAAAGAAAGAAAGAAAGAAAGAAAGAGCGACATAGAGAGAGAAAGAGCGGGAGACAGAGAGAGAGAGAGAAAGAAAAGGTGAGACCGAAAGCAAGAGAGTGCTTCCTCTGAAGCCCTGTCCTTTTCCTTCTACCTTTTCCAGTCTTTCACACTGCAATATCATTTATTCTCAAGCTGTGGAGGATATTCCCAGGGTTACAGAAACAAAAGAGATATACTGCAGCGAGAGAGAAAGAGAGCGGGGGGGGGGGGGGGGGGGAGACAGAGAGAGAGTGAAGGAAGAGAGTAAGGGACATAATGGGAGGAAAACTAGAGCGAGATAAAGAAAGGAGAGAGAGAATGATGAAGGTGGAGAGGGAGAGTACCAGGAAGTGAACAGAGAGCGAGAGAGAGGAAAATAAATGTTTGTAATCTGTATTCAAATCCAGAAGCAGCGTTAACAGAGCTTATACATGATCTATTCTACAGCATAGCCTTCTGTGTACAGTTAAACATGCTTTGCTGCTGCGTCTCTCGGGTTGGTGAGATCTTTGCTGCGTGTTGGGCAGGTTCACCAATGCAGAAGCACAGCCCCAATGTGACACAGGGTGTGTGTGTGTGTGCATGCGTGCGTGTGTGTGTGAGATTTTGACATTAGAGTCCCTTTTTATACCCTTTTCACATTACTGAGCAGAGCTGTACTGCACTGGCCTGGGTGAACATCCACCATAATCGCTGCATGCTGGAACGAAAGGTTCAGGTCGACACGGTAGTGTGAATCATGAAAAGGTTTGGTTCAGGTTGGCATGTGTGAAATAGTGTGAAATGGCTATTAGTTTGATAAAACAACAGGAACGAAAGGGTTTTTCATAGAGCCTCTCTCTCTAAGTGTTTGGTTCACACCAAGCAGGGAGAGAGAATGCTGTTTGTTCACTCCAATGCACCATTTTGTTTAAGATTCTCCTCACGACCTTCCCCTGCTCACTCGAGAGTCGGTGAGTTATCTGTCTCCCTTGAACCAACAAACAAGACGAGAACAGAGCTGAACAGAGGGAGCTCTGTGTGACGTCGTCAGCTCTTTTCATCCCACCAATAGACAGAGAGAAAGAAAGAAAGAAAGAAAGAAAGAAAGAAAGAAAGAAAGAAAGAAAGAAAGAAAGAAAGAAAGAAAGAAAGAAAGAAAGAAAGAAAGAAAGAAAAAAAAGAAAGAAAGAAAGAAAGAAAGAAAGAAAGAAAGAAAGAAAGAAAGAAAGAAAGAAAGAAAGAAAGAAAGAAAGAAAGAAAGAAAGAAAGAGAGGGACCACAGCGCACTACCTTTTATTTTTTAACAGAGTGGTCGACACACAAACGCATTGGGTTTTAATGAGCCACTTTGCCTTAAGGTGGATCTGAATATGGGGTTGGATGATGTTGTGCAGTGTGCAGTCAGTGTCCTCCCAGGGCCTGTTAACATGTTACATTGGATAAGTTATTATTTTTTATATCTATAATTTTTGTGGGTTTTTATTTATGGAGAAAGGACAGTTAAGGGAGACAGTAAAGATTGCGAGTCAGAAGGGCAGTGGACACGATTTGAACCCATGCCGACTCTGGTATACATGTGCGCCAGGGTCAGCAGCTCTAACTGCTGGACCACACAGGTCACCGATAACTTTGTCTGTAATTCACTCTCACTTCTTAATATAGTTTGTGGATTTGTGTTGATTCATATTTTGTTAATATTGTTGTTGATGGACTCTATCACACCCACTACTCTCCTCACGCTTCTCTTTTCCTCGCCATGCTCACTCTTTTCCTACTCCTTCACTCCTTCTCATTCTCACCTCCTGCTATGACACTTCCCTTATTCCTCTCCATCCTATCCTACCTCTTTCCCCCCGTCCTCTCCCTTCTCCCCTCCTCTCCCTCCTTTCCTCTCCTTCCTCCTCTTCCTCCCGCTCTTTCCCAGGTCTCTGTCGGGGCGTATCGTGGGTGGTGTGTGGTGGTTCTTCACCCTCATCATCATCTCGTCCTACACGGCCAACCTGGCTGCCTTCCTCACAGTGGAGAGGATGGTGTCGCCCATAGAGAGTGCTGAAGACCTGGCTAAACAGACAGACATCGCCTACGGTACCCTAGACTCCGGCTCCACTAAAGAGTTTTTCAGGGTGAGTATAGTACTGGACTGGACTGGACACAAGCTGTGTCTGAATTCTCATATTATGACCTTGTCCTATTTCATAGACTTTTTGTGTATGTAGGAATAAAACGTTTTAGCTAGTAGCTGGGTTGTTGTTTTAATATAGACCACATGGAGAATTCAATTAATCAGATTTTTTATATGAATAAAGGATATCTAAAGTGCCAAAATTCAGCATTTTGACATGTCCCTCCATCAACCCTGTGTCACTTCTAAGAAGATTTCAACCCACTTAATCCCAAAATGTATCGTTTTAAAATATTTTTTTCTAAAGAAACATTGAACATCTAATAGTCAAATCATAGTGTAAAAGGAGATGAGCTGGTTCTACTCTTTTTGGCAATTTTCTGGTGGAAATCTGAGCGGGTCGAGCATAACACGTCAACCCTGTTACCCATAGATAGACAGACTAGAAATGTTTTATACATTTCATTTCACCTCTCCAAAGTGTGCACAGTTCCTAAGCAACTTCAATGCACTTTTAGAAGAGTTTTCAGCTATAAGGTACTTTTTTGAGCTCTCATAGCTGTGCCGTTAAGGAATTAGTGTCAAGGTCTGATGTGGATGCGGTGGTGGAGTCAAGCGCAGGACACAGAGGAATAGTCAAGACGACTTTACTAATACCTCTCAAGGTACACACAAATAAACAGCCTCCAAAAACACAAGAGGCGTAACAAAATACGCGAGTGTGTAAAACCCACAAAAGCAAAGGTCACAGAACCTATACATACACGACAGGCGACAATAACACACAACATGCAAACCTAACAGGGGAACTTATAGGAGACATAATCAAGACAGAATACGAGACAGGTGCACCAACTAGACATAACCAAACAAACATCGAAAACATCAAGCGGTAGTAGCTAGTACTCGACGAACGCCGAAGCCTGCCCGAGCAAGGAGGAGGAGCAGCCTCGGCGGTCTCCGTGACAGTACCCCCCCCCCCCCCCTTGACGCGCGGCTCCAGCCGTGCGCCGACCCCGGCCTCGGGGATGGCCAGGAGGACGCGGAGCAGGACGCGTAGGATGACTCCGGTGGAACTCCGTCAGGAGGCAGGGAACTAAAATGTCCCTCCTAGGCACCCAGCACCGTTCCTCCGGTCCGTACCCCTCCCACTCCACGAGATACTGCAGACCCCCCATCCGACGTCTCGAATCCACGATGGACTGGACTGAGTACGCCGGAGCCCCCTCGATGTCCAGTGGGGGCAGAGGAGTCTCCCGTATCTCACTGTCCTGGAGTGGACCAGCTACCACCGGCCTGAGGAGAGACACATGGAACGAGGGGTTAATGCGATAATCATTAGGCAGTTGTAACCTGTAACAAACCTTGTTCAATCTCCTCAGGACTTTAAATGGCCCCACAAACCGCCGACCCAGCTTCCGGCAGGGCAGGCGAAGGGGCAGGTTTCGAGTCGAGAGCCAGACCCGGTCTCCTGGTGCATACACCGGAGCCTCACTGCGGTGGCGATCGGCTCTCGCCTTTTGCCACCTGATGGCACGCTGCAAATGAACGTGCGCAGCATTCCACGTCTCCTCCGAGCGCCGAAACCACTCGTCCACCGCAGGGGCCTCGATCTGGCTCTGATGCCAAGGTGCCAGAACCGGCTGGTAACCTAACACACACTGGAAAGGTGTCAGGTTAGAAGATGAATGACGGAGGGAGTTCTGGGTTATCTCTGCCCAGGGAATATATCCCGACCACTCCCCCTGCCGGTCCTGGCAATATGATCTCAGAAACCTACCCACATCCTGGTTCACTCTCTCCACCTGCCCATTACTCTCAGGGTGGAAACCCGAGGTAAGGCTAACCGAGACCCCCAAGCGTTCCATGAACGCCCTCCAGACTCTAGAGGTGAATTGGGGACCCCGATCAGACACTATATCCTCGGGTACCCCGTAGTGCCGGAAGACGTGGGTAAACAAAGCCTCAGCAGTCTGTAGGGCAGTAGGGAGACCTGGCATTGGGATGAGACGACAGGCCTTAGAGAACCGATCCACAACAACCAGAATAGTGGTATTCCCCTGGGAGGGGGGAAGGTCCGTGACAAAGTCTACCGAGAGGTGAGACCACGGCCGTTGTGGAATGGGTAGGGGTTGTAACTTCCCCCTGGGCAGGTGTCTAGGCGCCTTACACTGAGCGCACACCGAGCAGGAGGAGACATAAACCCTCACGTCCCTTAGCCAATGTTGGCCACCAGTACTTGTCACTAAGGCAGTGCATTGTCCGGCCGATACCAGGGTGTCCAGAGGAGGGTGACGTATGAGCCCAATATATGAGACGATCACGAATCTCGAGCGGAACGTACGTCCGCCCCACCGGACAATCTGGGGGAGTAGGGTCGGTGCGTAACGCCCGCTCGATCTCCGCATCGACCTCCCACACCACCGGTGCCACCAGACAAGACTCCGGCAGTATGGGCGTGGGCTCAATGGACCCCTCCTCTGCATCATATCGCCGGGACAGGGCGTCTGCCTTACCGTTCTGGGACCCTGGGATGTAGGTGAGCTTAAACGCAAACCTGGCCAGAAACATGGTCCACCTAGCCTGACGAGGGTTCAGTCTCCTAGCTGCCCGGATGTACTCCAGGTTACGATGGTCAGTCAGAATGAGAAAAGGGTGTTGAGCCCCCTCAAGCCAATGCCTCCACACCTTTAGGGCTTGAACCACGGCGAGCAGCTCCCTGTCCCCCACGTCATAATTACGCTCCGCCGGGCTGAGCTTCTTAGAGTAAAAAGCGCAGGGCCGGAGTTTAGGGGGGGTGCCTGAGCGTTGAGACAGTACATCCCCAATACCGGCCACTGACGCGTCCACCTCCACCTGGAACGCTAAAGCGGGATCCGGATGCGCCAGCACCGGAGCAGAGGTGAACAGGTCCTTCAGTTTACCAAACGCCCTGTCCGCCTCAGCTGACCACTGCAAACGCACCGGGCCCCCCTTCAGCAGGGAGGTAATGGGAGCTGCCACCTGTCCAAAACCCCGGATAAACCTCCGGTAGTAATTGGCAAAACCCAAAAACCGCTGCACTTCCTTAACCGTGGTTGGAGTCGGACAATTACGCACGGCTGAAACGCGGTCAATCTCCATCTCCACCCCTGACGCGGACAATCGATGGCCCAGGAAGGAGATGGACTCCTGGAAAAACAGACATTTCTCTGCCTTGACATACAAGTCATGCTCCAACAGCCTACCCAACACTCGACGCACCAGGGCTACATGCTCGGCTCGTGTAGAAGAGTAAACTAGTATGTCGTCAATATACACTACTACACCCTGCCCATGCAAATCCCGGAAGATCTCGTCCACAAAGGATTGGAAGACTGAAGGAGCATTCATTAACCCGTATGGCATGACGAGATACTCGTAGTGACCCGAGGTGGTACTAAATGCTGTCTTCCATTCATCTCCCTCCCTAATGCGCACCAAGTTGTAGGCGCTCCTGAGATCCAGCTTTGTGAAGAAACGCGCTCCGTGTAATGATTCCGTCACACTCGCAATCAGAGGGAGTGGATAACTGTATTTCACAGTGATCTGATTGAGACTACGGTAATCAATACACGGGCGCAACCCTCCATCCTTCTTCTTCACAAAAAAGAAACTCGACGACGCAGGGGAAGTGGAGGGCCGTATGTATCCCTGTCTCAGAGACTCGGCGATGTATGTCTCCATAGCCACCTTCTCCTCTTGAGACAGAGGATACACATGACTACGCGGAAGTGCAGCACCTGCCTGGAGGTCTATCGCACAATCCCCCTGTCTATGAGGTGGCAATCGCGTCGCCCTAGTCTTGCTAAACACTAGTGCCAAATCATCATACTCAGGAGGAATGTGCAGTGCGGGCAATTGGTTCGGACTCTCCACGTGGTTGCCCCTACGGAAACACCTAGACATCGCCCAACACACTGGGCAGACCACTCCTTGAGAGCCCTCTGTTGCCACGAAATGGTGGGGTTATGGGCGATTAACCAAGGAAGCCCCAGCACCACGGGATACGCAGGAGAGTCGATCAGATATAACTGAATGATCTCCTCATGACCCTCCTGCGCCTTCATCTTTAGTGGCGCTGTGACCTCCCTAATCAACCCAGATCCCAACGGACGGCTATCTAAGGCATGAATCGGGAAAGGCACATCTACTGGTCGGAGGGGAATCCCTAACTTAACACAAAAATTACGATCAATAAAATTCCCAGCTGCGCCTGAATCGACTAGCGCCTTATGCTGGGAATGAGATGCAACCTGGGGGAATACTACAGGTATACACATGTGACCAACAGAGAGCTCTGGGTGAGTTGGGCGCCTACTCATCTGGAATGACTCCCCAGTGCGTGACCTGTTGCCTCGATCCCCTGGAGACCCTCCCCAGCACCGAACCGCAGTGTGTCCTCTACGGCCACAGTTGGTGCAGGGGACGGCCTCCCTCCAGATCTCTCTCCTCCTCTCTCTAGCGCCAGCACCCCCGAGCTCCATAGGGCTCGGCTCGGAGGTGCTGGGGGATGGAATGGACGGCCCCAACTCCGGAGGTCCGCGGGTAGCCAGCAGGGTATCCAGACGGATTGACATGTCCACCAACTGGTCGAAGGTTAAATTGGTGTCCCTGCAGGCCAACTCTCGTCGAACGTCCTCTCGCAGGCTGCACCGATAGTGGTAGATGAGGGCCCTCTCATTCCACCCCGCATCTGCCGCTAGAGTCCGGAAGTCCAGGGCGAACTCCTGTGCGCTCCTCTTCCCCTGTCGGAGGTGGAACAGACGCTCCCCCGCCGCTTTACCCTCTGGAGGATGATCGAAAACAGCCCTGAAGCGGCGGGAGAACTCAGCGTAGCTGATGGTGGCGGCGTCTATTCCCCTCCATTCGGCATTGGCCCACTCCAAAGCCTTGCCGGAAAGACAGGAGATGAGGGCGGAAACGCTCTCGTATCCCGAGGGCGGCGGGTGTATGGTTGCCAGGTAGAGCTCCACCTGAAGGAGGAACCCCTGACACCCGGCTGCGGTGCCATCATATGCCCTCGGGAGCGAGAGCCGAATCCCACTGGACTCCGGAGCTGGTATGATGGGGCTGGCCGATGGTGGTGGTACGGTAGGAGGAGGTGTGGGAAAGCCTCCTCTCTCCAATCGGCGCAGGGTGTTCATGACTTCTTGCATGGCGGCGCCGAGTCGGTGGATCATGGCGTCCTGGCTGCTGACCCGCTCCTCCAGTGACTCGGTCACCGCCGCTGCTGCTCCTGCTGACTCCATAGGTGGTGTGTTATTCTGTCAAGGTCTGATGTGGATGCGGTGGTGGAGTCAAGCGCAGGACACAGAGGAATAGTCAAGACGACTTTACTAATACCTCTCAAGGTACACACAAATAAACAGCCTCCAAAAACACAAGAGGCGTAACAAAATACGCGAGTGCGTAAAACCCACAAAAGCAAAGGTCACAGAACCTATACATACACGACAGGCGACAATAACACACAACATGCAAACCTAACACAGGGGAACTTATAGGAGACATAATCAAGACAGAATACGAGACAGGTGCACCAACTAGACATAACCAAACAAACATCGAAAACATCAAGCGGTAGTAGCTAGTACTCCGGGGACGACGAACGCCGAAGCCTGCCCGAGCAAGGAGGAGGAGCAGCCTCGCCGGTCTCCGTGACAATTAGAGCAAGCACACTTGTAGTTGTTTAATTAGGAACACAACCCTGCATCCCCGTCATCACACAATTACTGTTGTTGTTTACGCAATAAATTTGTTTTACATTATAAATCTCATTCTGGGTCAGGTGGGCATGATTTGAACGCTTGTTCTATTGCCAACATGACTAGCTAAGTTATCAAATAAATCTTACAGTGTTAGACTTTCACAAGGCAATTCAAAGAAACAGATCGTAATTTTGGGGTGCATAGAAAGGAGGCATGAGTTCATTCAGGTGCTTGTGCCCGGCAAATTTTCTTCACAATAAACAAACATAGGCTCATTCTGTTCAGAACAACCCAGGGTATGATGCCATGTCATCTTGTAACTGTACATTAAACATAGTGATCATAAACATTGACACTGTATATTACATGAGTTCTATGATTTGGAAATGTGAAGTGCACATTTGGTCTCATGGGTGTTCGGCTTGCTTGTATGACATCAAAGCAGTATTTATTATAATCCTCAAATTCTCATCTTTCAAAATACATCGAGTCATCTTAATTTACAGCACTTCCCTCACTCAGACAGCAGCAAATGTGCAATTACCGGAAGGAATGGGGTCAACTTCTTGTCACGCGAGGTGCTCCAGTTCAGAACAGTTGTCAGTCAAAACCCATACAGCACTGTGAAGTGCAGAGCCAGAGCTCTGACGTCTTGTATAGCATGTTACTGTACAGCCACTACCTTCCAATCTAGGCGCTTATTAGTGCCCAAATCTGCCATTTTCAACCCGTATGCGGGTATGAGTGTAAAGGACTACCCTCTTGAGATGGGAAAACATGTTTTTTTATGAAGTTGAACATGTGCTCTTTATGACAGAATGTTAAAATTAGGTGAAATCAAAAGTTTATTTTGACAAAGTTACACTTCTCAAAAGGCACTGAATTGGTGGAACGACCCAGCTACTAGTAAGCAATATATAGCATGAGAATTCAAGGTGAGTAGTACTGGACTGATCAGCTCTCACACACACACACACACACACACACACACACACACACAACACCATACCGATCAGATCACTCAAGCACACTCATTCACTCGGGGAGGAGTGTGTTTTTACAGTAACTGTTTTCAGTCAACACTCACTCCTCCACCAGTAACTCTGTACTGTACGTTAACCCCGCCATGTCCTTGTCTCTATTTGGCTGTGCTCTCTCTATGCTCTCTCTCCACCCTCCTCTACTATTCCTCCACCCCTCCCCCAATCTTCCCCAAACACAGAGGTCAAAGATCGCAGTCTACGAGAAGATGTGGGGCTACATGAAGTCGGCTGAACCGACTGTGTTTACCAAGAACACACAGGAGGGGGTTGTACGTGTGCGGAAGAGCAAAGGAAAGTATGCTTTCCTATTGGAGTCAACCATGAATGAGTACACGGAACAGCGGAAGCCCTGCGACACCATGAAGGTCGGCGGAAACCTGGACTCCAAAGGATACGGAGTGGCCACCCCCAAGGGTTCACTGTTAAGGTGGGTGGAGTGGTATAACAATATGTCCAAGCTGTGCGTGTTGTTATGTTATTCCACCTTCCCTGGCGTGCTGCCTGAATATGTATAATAATGCTCATATAACGCTCATGTAACACTTCTTTTTTGTTAAGTTTTGTCATGATCGTAAAGGTAGTGGCTTTTACATTTGTGTTTGGTGTGGTATGGCGTGGCATGGCATGCGGTCATTGCAACAGTTGGTTTTGTTGCAGCTCTACTTCCTTGTTGTCAGGTAACGTTTGTGCTGCTTTATGTTGGTGGGCCAGTAGGAGTCGAAAGAGCATGTTGATAAGCATGAATATTACTCTTAAATATGTTAAATATGTTGCAGAATTCTGGTAACTTTCCCAAAATTCCTGGATTTCCTGCTTATTCCCTCCGGAATCTGGGAATATCCCAAACTGGAATTTCTGGAAAACCTGGGAATTTTGGGAAAGTTACCGGAATGTTGCAACCATAACTGCATTACATAGGTAATAGAGTGCTATTTGGGATGCAGACATAGTACGTTTCATATGAGATGGTGGGATATAAGTGATGTGAATGCGAGCCATGTGAATGCTCAGTCCTGTCTGACTTGGCTATACTCTAGAGCTGAATAATACACAGAGTGGAATTTACAGACCTGCCGAAAAATACAATATCGTTCCCACTCACCACGGGGAGTTACAATTTCACTTCGCCAAAACTAGAAACTCTCATCTACCAAAAGAAAGGGAGCAAGCTCATACGGAAAGGAATTGAAAAATGTAATAGAGGCTGGATTGAGTGTGTGTGTGCGCGCGTGCATGCACACGTGTGTGTGTACTGGACAAAATGTCATTAATCCATTGCCAAAGGATTTATAAAAGATAACTTGCATTTTCACAGTTTTTGTAGCATGAGTGAGGTACTGTTATTATTTTTTGAAAAGACACTTCAAATGATAAAAGCAAACAAATACCCCTTAGCAAGCTAAGAGTTATCTTAGCCTATACTATAATGGTCACACTATCTATTACTTAATACTGCTTCCTGTTTACTATATATCCTTTAATAAACACTGTTTAATTACTCTTAGATAAAGTATACTGTTTTTTAAATGGAACATATAGCCAAGATCACATGTAAACTGTAGACAGGAGAACCAAGTCTCAGTGTAGTATGTCAACTTTAGATCGACAGTATGTTGTTGACCACCTGACCCTAGATAGGGCCTACAGAGCGTTATGTCGCTCTCAATCAATAAATAAATAAATCAAATATATTCTGTAAAGCCCGTTTTACATCAGCAGTTGCCACAAAGCGTGTTACAGACACACTAGCAAAGGTTGTCAAAATTGACAAAAGGTCAAAAACACAGTTCTTATAAATGTAACAGCTGCATAATGGAGTGAGATACTCAACACTATTAGAATTTAAAAAATCAAAATCCACTGGATTATAGCAGTGGCATGTGTTTCAGCGGCCATAACAGATGTTTGCGCGATCGTAAAATCAACAGGAAAATGTGCTTTGGTTTTCTTTTTAATTAAATTGATCTAGCAACAATTATGTGACAAGTGAACTAACACCCCACAAAAACAGGAACATAATGGCTGGAAAGTGGGGAATCCTAAGGTGGGCTGGGCATGCGCATTGTTTGACACACATGCACGCACACACACTATTTCCAAACTCATCTGAATCCAACTCCAAACCTTCCCTGTCTGTAAATTCCACTGACGGTGCTTCTCTAGGAGGCAACAACATGGGTTTGCAATGCAAACAACGACTGGTGCTGGATTTACCCACTGTTTTCAGCAAGAGGAGTCACTGACAGATCACGGTAGTTCCAGATGGAGTCCATTTTTATTTTAATAATAATAATAATAATATGCCATTTAGCAGACGCTTTTATCCAAAGCGACTTACAGTCATGCGTGCACACATTTTTACATATGGGTGGTCCCGGGGATCGAACCCACTACCCTGGCGTTACAAGCGCCATGCTCTACCAACGCGTTCCCCTGCTCAGACGTTGCATGCCAATGAATTTGTGTCACGTCATCAACAGTGTCATCGACTGACAGATTGCTGTAATATATGATGTGGTTAGCTGATACTTAAAATACCTATCCAGCAATGTTCCCTCAAATTTTATGGGGCACTGAGCAAATTTTGGGTCTTGTGAGCGGAAACTTGAACATTGTGAGAATTTTGTGCAACTTCCAGTGTGTGTTTACAGTGAACACTGAGGCTGTACCCTTACAGTTTTAGACAGTAGCCAGTAGGCTATTGTGGCTATTTGAGCATAATGTAGGCCTACCAACAAACCAATGGAATTCCATAACATTTTCACATGGAAATAGCTTTTGATTTCTTTGATATAGCCTACAGTAGCCTCTATGTGGTGTTCAATGCAGGCCTACATTGCATGAGACTTTTTAAAAAAGTTTTTACATTATGAAGGGCTTGACATTAATTAATAATTTTTTTACTTGGTTTGTAACACCATCGGTCAAATAGGTGACTGTAAATTGCATTGTATTGTGTTATATGATGCAAGAAACCACTTTACAAAATACAATTAATTATTATTATCATACAGAGAATTAGACAATGTAGGCTACCCCTCTGCCTATTGTCTTATTTGCAAATTCAAGCCTGTCTCAAAATACAACACTGCCCCTTTAATTAAGACATAAGCCTTTTACCTGACTGGCTTTTCAAAGACAGCTTGAAATGTAGCCTGCATGTTTTGTGCTCTTGTAGGAAGCAGTAACTCCCCATTGCTGACCTATACTTATCTTTAACTGGGCTAATAACTCGCTAACTAGCAAAGAATATCAACAAATGTGCACACGCGCGGCTCTGTGCTCTGATCTGAACTGATCTGAAAAGCGCATTCACTCGCGTGTGGCTCTGCCTACAACAAAATCACAGACTTATTCTTGCAAAGTTAGATTAGTTTTGTTTTGTTGCATTGAACAGGGGCTGATATAATGTTGATTCGATCGCAGAAAAAACGTTGATCTATATAGTGCAAACTAATGGGGAGAACTCAGTGAAGTTCAATCTCTTGTGTCTCTGCGCGGCATAGCATTTCTTCTGCATGGCAGTCCTGGAGGAAGTGCGCAGCCGCGGGCAGTTTAGAGGGAACATTGCTATCCAGGCATTGTAAGATCGGGCATGCATCAGCAACGCCTGGGCAGAAGAACAGGCCCACTATCTTCTGTCAGTCACTTATGTGGTTGTCACCATGGAAACCCACAAATCAGCATGCAGAGCGACTATGATGTCAGACAAGGCAGCTATTTCAAAAAGGCATTAACCCTAAAGTGACCCTAAAAAGTTTAAACAAGGTGACGTTTAATTATATATTTTTTTTTTCTCATCAGCTTTTACTGAAAGATTTATTTTAATAATGTTGCTATCAGTTAAGCAACATTTCTGTCTCTCTCATTGTTGATGTGTACCTGATATTACTCTAAAGTACAGTTGAAATGCACTGAATGCATGTGGACAAATCTCTCTTGATGCAAGTTTTACTCCTCTGAATCAAAATATATATCAAAATGAAGTTACTACACAATCATTTCCATATGGGCCATGGTCAATGTATGCACTATATAGGGAATAGGGTGCCATTTCAGACACACAATATGTGTAATGGAGTTTAACCATCAATCAGGTCATGTACAGAAAGACAAAGGCCACAGGGGTAAAACCAAGGAAACAAATAGAGATTTAAGTTTAATTTACTTCAATTTACACTGTGTGCACAATTATTAGGCAAGTCAGTATTTTGACCATATCATCATTATTATGCATATTTCCCAACTCCAAGCTGTATAAACTGGAATGCTTATTGGATTTAAGTGTATCAGGTGATGTGTATTTGTGTAATGAGGGAGGGTGTGGCCTAAGGAGATCAACACCCTATATCAAGGTGTGTATAATTATTAGGCAGCTTCTTTTCCTCAGGCAAAATGTGCCAAAGAATAGATTTAACTGACTCTGAAAAGTCAAACAATTTTAAAAGTATTTCAGAGGGATGCAGCACTCTTGAAATTGCTAAGATATTTGGGCGTGATCACAGAACCATCAAACGTTTTGTTGCAAATAGTCAACAGGGTCGCAAGAACCGTGTTGAGAAAAGAAGACGCAAATGAACTGCCAAAGATTTGAGAAGAATCAAACGTGAAGCTACCAGGAACCCATTATCCTCCAGTGCTGTCATATTCCAGAACTGCAACCTACCTGGAGTGCCCAGAAGTACAAGGTGCTCAGTGCTCAGAGACATGGCCAAGGTAAGGAAGGCTGAAACCCGACCACCACTGAACAAGACACATAAGTTGAAACGTCAAGACTGGGCCAAGAAATTTCTGAAGACAGATTTTTCAAAGGTTTTATGGACTGATGAGATGAGAGTGACTCTTGACGGACCAGATGGATGGGCCCGTGGCTGGATCAGTAACGGAGCTCCACTTCGACTCAGACGCCAGCAAGGTGGAGGTGGGGTACTGGTATGGGCTGGTATTATTAAAGATGAGCTAGTTGGACCTTTTCAGGTTGAAGATGGACTCAAACTCAACTCCCAAACCTACTGTCAGTTTTTAGAAGACACTTTCTTCAAGCAGTGGTACAGGAAAAAGTCTGCATATTTCAAGAAGACCATGATTTTTATGCAGGACAATGCTCCATCGCATGCATCGAAGTACTCCACTGCGTGGCTAGCCAGTAAAGGCCTTAAAGATGAAAGAATAATGACATGGCCCCCTTCCTCACCTGACCTAAACCTTATTGAGAACTTGTGGTCCCTTCTTAAACGGTCGATTTACGGTGAAGGAAAACAGTACACCTCTCTGACCAGTGTCTGGGAGGCTGTGGTTGCTGCTGCACAAAAAGTTGATTGTTAACAGATCAAGAAACTGACAGACTCCATGGATGGAAGGCTTATGACTGTTATTGAAAAGAAGGGTGGCTATATTGGTCACAGATTATTTTTTTGGAAATGTCAGAAATGTTTATTTGTAAATGTTGAGTTGTTTGTTTATTATTCTCAGTTTAACAGATGAAAATAAACAAGTGAGATGGGGAACTTTTCATTTTTCATTTAGTTGCATAATAATTCTGCACACTAATAGTTGCCCAATAATTGTGCACACATAGATATTCTCCAAAGAAAGCCAAAACCTCACTTTTACTTTCTTAAATATTCAGGTTTGAGGTTTATTAACATTTTGGATTGACCGAGAGCACTGTAGTTGTTCAATAATAACATTAATCCTCAAACATACAACTTGCCTAATAATTGTGCACACAGTGTAGTTTCCTTGGATCAAACTCTGAAGTGAACCATGTCCCAACGAGAGGTTTGTCCTTCTGTGTATGAGGATCCTATCTGTGGGGCAAAAATGAACTTCCACTTAAGTCAAAATGTCACAGTCTCCCATTGACATCAACGCATGACTAAGTGAAAATGTGACTTAAGTGGAAGTTATTATTCACCCCTGTGTGTATGGAGGGAGGGTGGGAGAGGGAGAGAGGTTTATTGTTACAGATAGAGCATTAACACACCCCTATTTCCACCCTTGTCCCCCCTTTATAATCCCCCCTTTCCCCCTCCTATCCTCAATTGGATGCTATCGACTCACCTTCACTCACCCAAATATGTTTTATCATTTTCAAGAAGCGCAGTTAACCTGGCAGTGTTAAAACTGAATGAACAAGGCCTGTTGGACAAATTGAAAAACAAGTGGTGGTACGACAAGGGAGAGTGTGGCAGCGGCGGAGGTGGCGAGAAGGTTAGCCATCCGTGTGTCATCCCCATGCCGATTGGGTAAAACTGTTCTCGTGGTAACGGGGGCATCTGCCGGGGCGACACCCATCGTGTGACCCACAGTGGTGTTGTGACGTGCCACAGTGGCACGTATTATAGTTCTGGACGAGTGGAGAGCGATTACTGTCAAACTACAAATATTCGCTTTTAGTAGATGTTAATATTGTTCACCTCTTTGTAACCTAAAGCTTAAGTGGAATAGTTTTTGAAGACACCTTGAAGTCACAGTCATATTGTGTAGTCCCACTAAACACCACATTGCGCATGTCATAAATGTACAGTATCTTATGGCAAAACGTGAAGTTGAAAAAGAGATTTACATCACAATGTGACTTCCCTAGTTAAAAAAACTGATAAATACATTCTAAAAAGTCTGTTGTTTTTTATTATTGTTGACTTTGGTACAAAATTCAGCCAATAGTTGTAGCTTCACAGTAATAGCCTCCGATTGGTTGTTGTGAGATAGGCCTCGGCAGTATGTGCCCGTTCCAGAAAGCGATGCAGTGGGGGCCCCATGTATATGTCTGTAGTGTTCAGCCCCTCAGGGACCCCTAAACCAACACCCCAGCAGTCCCCTCTCCACTACCATGAGCATAGAGACATGTAAACCAATGGGGCCCCTGTCTCCGTCACTTTCAGCTGTTAAGTGCTCTGTATGGGCTCTTTACGTTTTTGACTGAATAACATAAAATAACATGTCCCATGATGTTATTTATGTTATTTCCCCCCCTGACCCCTCCCCGACCCCTCGACCTCACTCGTGCGGTTTCGAAGAACTCCAGTAAACCTAGCCGTGTTGAAACTGAGTGAATCAGGCGTCTTAGACAAGCTGAAAAACAAATGGTGGTACGATAAGGGCGAGTGTGGACCCACGGCCTCAGGAAGTAAGGTCAGTCTCCTGCAAGTCCTGGGACCACACCTCCTCACTGACTGTTCTGATGTCACACTGATGAACCCCACCGCAGACAGACAGACAGAAAGACAGATAGGCAGACAAGGAGACAGGCAGGGATGTAGACAGGCAGGCAGGTAGGAAGGCAGGCAGGAAGGCAGGCAGATGGGCAGACAGGCAGATAGAGTCAGGCAGACAGAGAGGCAGGCAGGTAGGTAGGTAGGTAGGTAGGTAGGTAGGTAGGTAGGTAGGTAGGTAGGTAGGTAGGTAGACAGACAGACAGACAGACAGACAGACAGGCAGATAGAGTCAGGCAGACAGAGGCAGGCAGGTAGGTAGACTGGCAGGCAGACACACACAAAGATAGGACAGAGAGAGACTTAAGGCGTAGCCTGAGGGATACAATACATCAAACTAGAAGGCATGCTCACAATTCAGTGGTAGCAGCAGCACAGCAATGTATGAAATGGTGAGACCTGCAGGATCACATTCATTTGGTTGTCACCTGTATCTGTGCCACACTTAGTAGTGTATACTTAGTAGTGCAGTTGTAATGTCACGGCAGAGTATTAGTATCATAGAAGTAGAATGAGTAGAACAGGCTTGGAACCTCTTACCTTGACTGGTAAACTCTATTATATTTCTATGATAGTAGAAAATATAGTATGCCAGTCATTCTAGCCCACTCTAGATTGGTTCTAGTAAGTTTATTCATTGGGCAATACTCAAGCATGTAAAGAGAACTCCTTCCTCAACAAAGCAGCATGTAAACACCTTAGCGGCAAAAGTACTTGTCAAGTGTATTTCCTTGTCAAGTATAATAAAAAAGTAGATCTTGAGTTTTGAAGATATGGCACTTGTTTGAAAGTTCTCAATCACATACTCCAAGCAGCAGTAGATAAGATGCATGACAAGGCAAGGCAGTGTTTCGTAAAGTCTCCAACCTGAACATATTCCTTTTGAAAAGAAAGCCTCCCCTTTAGGAGCAGGCAACTAACCTGAGAAGTGGGAGATAAGAAAAGTGAGAGAGCTGCACCCCTGTATGTCTTAAATCACAGTGTCTAATTACACAATGACAATAAGCAGAGATAACAGAGGGCTAGGGAGCTACTTGAGAGTGGAGACCAAGGAATATACAGCCTGTTAACAATTTTTAACTGAGTCATTTAGGCAGCTAGTGAACTAGAATAATTGTTTTCCTCCTTCATTGCTGTAAAAATGTCATAGTCACGCTTTATCGAGGGATCATTAAATTTGTTGGCATGGGAACATCATGATGATAACAGCTGTAGCAGTAGCCACAGAGCTGAAAGCTAGAGCAGGTCTGAACTGGAAAGTGTATGTGTGTGTGTTAGATTGATAAATTATGTATTTGTGTACGTGTGTTGTAATGTGTAATATAATTGCCGGGTACAGTGCCTTCGGAAAGTATTCAGACCCGTTGACTTTTTCCACATTTTGTTAGGTTACAGCCTTATTCTAAAATGTAGTTTTTCCCTCATCAATCTACACAAAATACCCCATAATGACAAAGCAAAAACTAGTTTTTAGACATTTTTGCTAATTTATAAAAAATAAAAAACTGAGCATACATTTACATAAGTATTCAGACCCTTTACTCAGTACGTTGTTGAAGCACCTTTGGCAGCGATTACAGCCTCAATCAAGTCTTCTTGGGTATGACGCTACAAGCTTGGCACACCTGTATTTGGGGAGTTTCTCCCATTCTTCTCTGCAGATCCTCTCAAGCTCTGTCAGGTTGGATGGGGAGCGTTGCTGCACAGCTCTTTTCAGGTCTCTCCAGAGATTCAAGTCCGGGCTCTTGCTGGACCACTCAAGGACATTCAGAGACTTGTTCCGAAGCCACTCCTGTGTTGCCTTGGCTGTGTGCTGAGTGCTGTGGAGCAGGATTTTATCAAGGACCTCTCTGTACTTTGCTCCATTCATCTTTGCCTCGATCCTGACTAGTCTCCCCGTCCTTGCCGCTGAAAAACATCCCCACAGCATGATGCTGCCGCCACCATGCTTCACCGTAGGGATGGTGCCAGGTTTCCTCCAGACGTGTGGCTTGGCATTCAGGCCAAAGAGTTCAATCTTGGTTTCACCAGACCAGAGAATCTTGTTTCTCATGGTCTGAGAGTCTTTAGGTGCCTTTTGGCAAACTCCAAGCGGTCCATCATGTGCCTTTTACTGAGGAGTGGCATCCGTCTCTCCACTCTACCATAAAGGCCTAATTGGTGGAGTGCTGCAGAAATGGTTGTCTTTCTGAAAGGTTCTCCCATCTCCACAGAAAAACTCTAGAGCTCTGTCAGAGTGACCATCGGCCCTTCTCCCCCAATTGCTCAGTTTGGCCGGGCGGCCAGCTCTAGGAAGAGTCTTGGTGGTTCCAACTTCTTCCATTTAAGAATGATGGAGGCCACTGTGTTCTTGGGGACCTTCAATGCAGCAGAAATGTTTTGGTAACCTTCCCCAGATCTGTGCCTCGACACAATACTGTCTTGGAGCTCCATGGACAATTCCTTCGACCTCATGGCTTGGTCTTTGCTCTGACATGCACTGTCAACTGTGGGACCTTATATAGACAGATGTGTGCCTTTCCAAATAATGTCCAATCAATAGAATTTACCACAGGTGGACTGCAATCAAGTTGTAGAAACATCTGAAGGATGATCAAAAGAAACAGGATGCACCTGAGCTTAATTGCGAGTCTCATAGCAAAGGGTCTGAATACTTATGTAAATAAGGTATTTATGTTTTTTGTTTTTAATAAATGTGCAAACATTTCTAAAAACCTGTTTTCGCTTGGTATTATGGGGTATTGTGTGTAGATTGCTGAGGAAATTGTTTTATTTAATCCATTTTAGAATAAGGTTGTCACGTAACAAAATGTGGAAAAAGTCAAGGGGTCTGAATACTTTCCGAAGGCACTGTATGTATGAATATGTATGTATGAGTATGTATGTGAGTCTATGTTTGCATGTGTTTGTTCTCAACCCCCCCACCACCGCTAGGTCTCTGACTGCCTGTCTGCCCTGTGTCTCTCCTCCAACCGCCCCAGGACAAGTCGTCCCAGGCCCTGTCGTTGAGCAACGTGGCGGGGGTCTTCTATATCCTCGTGGGGGGCCTGGGCCTGGCCATGCTGGTGGCCCTCATTGAGTTCTGCTACAAGTCCCGGAACGAGGCCAAGCGAATGAAGGTGGAGGCACCAACATCTGAACACCACCACCCAAACCACCACCACCACCACCACCTCCCCCACCACCTAACCCCTAGCAGCCCCCACCCCAGCTGCTCCAGCCCCAGAACAAGCCATCAACCCAGTCACAGTCCAGGGTACAGTCCTGGCTATAGTCCCAGCCACACCCCCGGCCCCAGCCCTTCCCCAAGCACCCACAACTTAGCCACGTGTAGTGAGGTCTTCGACGGGTACGGAAGCAATGGGGATGTTAATCTAAATATGTGGTTGCTTCAAGTTGTGTATTTATGGTATTTTATGTATTGCATTGTCATCAACTCCAATTCAAATAATAGTCCCTTCTAGCCTAGTTTGTTAAATATGTTGAACATGTTAGCGGTCCACATTGTTCTAATTGCATTGCTTTAAAATGGAAATACATTGCTAAACATAGGCTATAGGCCTAATGTAAATTGCAGTCTGGACATGGACATGCCAAACACAGTCAATAAGCAAGATTCAATTCACTAGGCTATTGATAAGGCCTAAAAAGACAGTATAATTACAATCCTAATAAAAACGAAACAACAACTTGTTTAAAATAGGCTTTACCCATGGGTGTATAATACAGACAAGGCAACTTAGACTATGGAGGGTTTTATACACATCCAAATACAAAGAGAAAGGGGGAACGTCCACTGTTATAGTGCTCGCAAATGTAAAGTTTTATAAACATCATGGAACCATATTACAGATCATATTTGCACTTCTCATCATAAAGCTATGGACGGTGAATCTTTCGAATAAGTTAGTTTTTTAAATCAAATTAAACGAAAAACAATCAATCCGTTTTTTTATCCAACAACAATATTTCTAAATAGGACCGGGTCAGATACATGATCTCATAAATCGCTTCTCTTGTTCCATTGCACTGTGTGCACACGTAGGCCTAAATGTCTTTATGCATAACATTCACACGTCTATACAGAATACTAGGCTCTTGTCAATTGTGTCATTGCCCATGTGCGAGGCAAATTCTCAATAAAAATCTGCCTTTGATATGGCATAATAGGATGACTGAATATAATAGTTTGCAGCAGCTTGTCTTTGGTTTTCGGACGAGGGGCACTCTTTGAAAATGGGGATGGATAGACTTCTTGAACAAGCAAAATGCAGGTATGTGAATTGTGAATAATGAAAAAGCATGAGGGCAAAAACTTCCACAATATTTCAAAGCACTCTCAGTGGACCGTTTAAAAACTCTTTATTTATAGGTTACTTTTGGCTAATGGCCAGGATAAAAAAGACACACCTATGCAATGCTGCTAAACCAGACTTTATTAAGGGGAGGATAGGCTATGCTTGGTTTTTAATCAAATTAAACAAAATGGGAGGAAACAAATAGTTTGTTATAGTTCTAATACGAGATTCACTGGCACAAAAGGCACATCTCTTCTTCCATGGGCACTGTGCGTCATGGCTAGATAGGCTGCCCTTCCACTCTCAAAATCCATGCCATTATCAACTGCTTTGCCATTAAGAAATACTTTTTGTGGGTCTTAAAACTTCCCAATAGAGCTGCATGAAATTGTCACTTTTGCATTTGTTTTTAACCACTTACACTTGTCGAATTTGGCCTATATGGATAGGGCTAAACTGAAATGTTTCTTACAGAAAAATATGGAAAGCAAATGCATAACCATGGTAGCAATTAAAAGGGTACAGTTTGGAGATTATGGGAAAATTATTAGACTAAAGGTGAGGACACAACAGTTCACCTGAAACAAGACTGAATCCAAATATTACGCTGTTGATTTTACAGTGAGGGAAAAAAGTATTTGATCCTTGCTGATTTTGTACGTTTGCCCACTGACAAAGAAATGATCAGTCTATAATTTTAATGGTAGGTTTATTTGAACAGTGAGAGACAGAATAACAACAAAAAAATCCAGAGAAACGCATGTCAAAAATGTATTTTAATGAGGGAAATAAGTATTTGACTCCGTCTCAATCAGAAAGATTTCTGGCTCCCAGGTGTCTTTTATAAAGGTAACGAGCTGAGATTAGGAGCACACTCGTAAAGGGAGTGCTCCTAATCTCAGCTTGTTACCTGTATAAAAGACACCTGTCCACAGAAGCAATCAATCAATCAGATTCCAAACTCTCCACCATGGCCAAGACAAAGAGCTCTCCAAGGATGTCAGGGACAAGATTGTAGACCTACACAAGGCTGGAATGGGCTACAAGACCATCGCCAAGCAGCTTGGTGAGAAGGTGACAACAGTTGGTGCGATTATTCGCAAATGGAAGAAACACAAAAGACTTGTCAATCTCCCTCGGCCTGGGGCTCCATGCAAGATCTTACCTCGTGGAGTTGCAATGATTATGAAATCGGTGAGGAATCAGCCCAGAACTACATGGGAGGATCTTGTCAATGATCTCTAGGCAGCTAGGACCATAGTCACCAAGAAAACAAATGGTAACACACTACGCCGTGAATGCCTGAAATCCTGCAGCGCCCGCAAGGTCCCCCTGCTCAAGAAAGCACATATACTGGCCCGTTTGAAGTTTGCCAATGAACATCTGAATGATTCAGAGGAGAACTGGGTGAAAGTGTTGTGGTCAGATGAGACCAAAATTGAGCTCTTTGGCATCAACTCAACTCGCCGTGTTTGGAGGAGGAGGAATGCTGCCTATGACCCCAAGAACACCATCCCCACCGTCAAACATGGAGGTGGAAACATTATGCTTTGGGGGTGTTTTTCTGCTAAGGAGACAGGACAACTTCACCGCATCAAAGGGACGATGGACGGGGCCATGTACCATCAAATCTTGGGTGAGAACCTCCTTCCCTCGGCCAGGGCATTGAAAATGGGTCGTGGATGGGTATTTCAGCATGACAATGACCCAAAACACACGGCCAAGGCAACAAAGGAGTGGCTCAAGAGAAGCACATTAAGGTCCTGGAGTGGCCTAGCCAGTCTCCAGACCTTAATCCCATAGAAAATCTGTGGAGGGAGTTGAAGGTTCGAGTTGCCAAACGTCAGGCTCGAAACCTTAATGACATGGAGAAGATCTGCAAAGAGGAGTGGGACAAAATCCCTCCTGAGATGTGTGCAAACCTGGTGGCCAACTACAAGAAACGTCTGACCTCTGTGATTGCCAACAAGGGTTTTGCCACCAAGTACTAAGTCATGTTTTGCAGAGGGGTCAAATACTTATTTCCCTCATTAAAATGCAAATCAATTTATAACATTTTTTACATGGGTTTTTCTGGATTTTTTTGTTGTTATTCTGTCTATTACTGTTCAAATAAACCTAACATTAAAATTATAGACTGATCATGTCTTTGTCAGTGGGCAAACGTACAAAATCAGCAGGGGATCAAATACTTTTTTCCCTCACTGTATGTGCATTTTACATTTACTGTACTTTTCACTGCATTTGTTGATAACGAAATCTGAAAATACTCTGGATACATTCAGTAATATGACAAGAATATTCTTGGAAAATTTGGGGTAGGTGCAACATAAGACAAATAATTACAAGGGTTTGAGTGAGAGGTCTAACTAGTGTTTCCAAGTGACCACACACCTCTCCAAAGTGTGCACAGTTTCAATGCAATTTCAATGCACTTGTATGACTCAAAGAAGAGTCTTCAACTATAAGGTGCTTTTTGGAGCTCTCCTAGCTGAGGATCTAGAGCAAGCACACTTGTAGTTGTTTTCTTTGGAACACAGCCCTGCACCCCTGCCTTTACACAATTACTGTGCTTGTTTATGCAATCCAAAAACGGTCCATTATAAATCACAATCTGGGTCAGGTGGGAATCATTCGAAAGCTTGTTATATTGCCAACATGACTAGCTAAATCATAAAATGTGATCTTACAGTGTTAGGCTTTCACTAGGCAATTCAGAGAAGCAGATAGTAATTTTGGTGCGCATAGAATGGTGTCATGAGTGCATTCAGATGCGTGGTCCATGGCAAATTTTCTTCACAATACAACAAACATAGGCTCATTCTGTTCAAGACAACCCAGGGTATAAAGCCATGTCATCTTGTACATTAAATATAGTGATCATAAACATTTACACTGTATATTACATGAGTTTTATGATATGGAAATGTGAAGTGTACATTTGGACTAACGGGTGTTTGACATAACCTGGCTTGGGGTCCTCCCCCAGAATTTTTTGGGGCATCTAAAGCTCATTTCCTGCATTTTTACACAATCCAATATGCAGACTCTATTTAGAACAAAAAGTAAGCAACAATGCCCACAGTCAAGCTAGGTAAGCCATCATTATTACATATGTTTAAGTAATTAATAAGACTGAACTAGATCAACGGTAATTCAATAATAAATATTGTGTTGCACCTTTAACCAATAGCCTAAAAAATGAACAACTGTTGAAACAATACGAATACTTTTAATTCTTTATTAAGACATCCTCTATATCAAATTTCAGCCAGACCGACCAGCCAGCCCACATACACCTCATATATACATTAACACACAGAAACAGCAAATCCTTCATATAATTAATCTCATAGGACTAATAGTACTGTAGAGCTCTTTTTATTTGCACAAAATATAGCTGGGTCGCCCCGTCCTGTCCCTAGGGGTCCACCACCCTGCAGCGCCCCAACACAACCCACTCAGCTTTAGGACCTTAGTGAAACATTCATTATTGGTTTCGGGTGTTAAGCCAAAAATTCACCTCACCTCCATCACAGACTGGTCTTCCCTGGCTGCCTGACCCTGCTGAGACCTCTGTCACCATCTGATCCTCTTAAAATGAGGCATGACAAAGAATTACCTTCGTATACATTTATACATTATATTATCCAATAATAGAATCAATGGTTCAATAATTGAAATTAACATTCCTCCCAGATCCCAGACTGTAGCTTTAAGCTTAAGCTGCTGTCCTGTAGCTACTGTAGGTCTACCCATCAATTCAAGATGGAACTTTGTATCATTCACTGATATTGTTAATATACTGCAAAATTCACCCG